CCTGGCTGAGCGCGGTGCAGCCGGTCACGAAAAAAAAAAAAAAAAAAAAAAAAAAGAATAAGTCTTATAAGTTAGTGTTTATCAACTTATAATACAGATTACATGAAAAAATGGCAAAGCAACTTTAAAATACTAACCCAAAAATACTTTAAAAATTCCACTGACAATTCATTTTTTTATAATTGGTCTATTTACTAAATCCAAAGTACTAATGTGTGAAATGCTTTCATCTGAGTCAGAACACACAGTTGTCTAATAAAATATCCCTCACATTTTAATAATTATCTAAACTGTGTGTGTGAATGTGTAACAGGCCCCTTTGAGAATCTGCTGAAAACCAAATATGTTCTCCAAAATGCAAATATACACAAAATTTTCTATACAACTTTTATAGACTTGTAGGTTCCCACAAAATAGAATCATTGACTATACCTCTGTGCTAATTGAGGTTAGGATTTTACTACACACACAAAAAAGTTAAGACACTTTTAAGAGTGTATAATAAAATTCTTGTTCTATGTTTATAAAAGTAGTATATTTAACTTAAAAGCTGACTACAGAGTATTCTTTATATCAATCCTATACAAGCTGGAATAAGGCATATATATTTTAACAAGTTTCCAAAGTTAAAAATGTTAAATCTATAAAAAATTTATATCATTTTAAACTCACACAAACAACATCATTTTTTACCTTATCTATAACATATATGCAACAAATTAGTGGTAAATCTAGTACAGATCTTAGGCACAAACCATTCCATTTTTAAATTGAGATGTGAATAACGGATATTTGCAATTCATCAAACTGTACAGTTTCATTAAATTCATTAAATATTTGCGGTCCTTTGTATATCAATTATATTTCAATAAAGCTATAAAAAATGCATAGTTTTACTGAAGCAAACACTGCCTTAAAAGTTTTGTGCTGACATTATATATATTAAATCGTGTTTCTGAGTGCCACTTTATATGCACTGTAAGATTTTTATGGGTATTTATAATTGTATGATTTTTTAAAAATTATAAAATTTTAATTATATATGACCTATCTGGCAATAAAAACACACAGAAGAATAAAATCTCCTCCATCCTTTCCCCTCCAGTACTCATTAGAAATCTGAAAGGAGAATACTTACTCTATCTGTGTGACCAGGAGCCATTGATAACATCTTTCCCCTTTTCCAATCCCAAACACAAACTGCATTCTTTGAATCAAGTCCAACTGAAACCAATCGCTGAATTATGTCCAAGAAGTCCAGGAGAGAATAAAAAGGCAAACAAACGAGAGGAACCAAATTATAAATGGCAAATAAATACTACTCGTGAGTTTTATAAACACTTACACATCTATATTTTATAGACCTCATAAACAAAGACTGGATGTATTTCATCTCATTAACATTTGCATATGTGTATAGTTCTTCACATTAAGAAACAGAAGAGAGACTTCCATTTCTAACAATAGGATTGACAAAATATCCTAAACATGTCTCTTGCCAAAAACTAAAAATACTAGATAAAATGTAAAAACCTCTTTCTAAATGCACTGCTAAGCTGTCAAAGAATTAAGAAATCTGAGAACAAAAACAAAGTGATTCCCAGTGAGAATCCTGGAGGGTAAAGGAGCACCTATATCTAGTTAACACTAAAGGCATTAAATGAATCCTGGTAGGGCCGGCCCGGTGGCGCACTGGAGAGTGCGCTGCTTGGGAGCATGGCGGTGCTCCCGCTGAGGGTTCGGATCCCATGTGGAGACCGGTTCCCGCTCACTGGCTGAGCGCGGTGCGGGCGCGACACCGAGGGTTGCGATCCCATTGCCGGTCACCGGTACGGGCGCGACACAAAGGGGTGTGGTCCCGTTACTGGTCAGTAAAAAAAAGACAAAAAGGAAAAAAAAAAAAATGAATCCTGGTATCCCTGATTTTTGTGCTGTGGTGATAAAGATCAACAGGAGATAAAGTCTAGGGCCTACCCAAGGTGGGGATTTAAATTGCAGGCTTCTGACTAAAGCAGAGAACCCCTCAGAGTAACAGACAATAAGAAATAACCCCTTTTTAAAAAAGGAGCAGCAGTGCAGGAAGAGGGAGAAAAAGCTCCCTGAACATTGTAACTACTAGCAGCCTTCACATGGTTGTATGGCCTAAACTCATATCAATCATGAATCTCTCAAGTGGAAAATTTCATTCAGAGTTGTCCTAAGGGTTGGCTGTGTTTTCAAGCAACTTCAACAAAGTGGCCCAGGAAAATATGCATTCTACATGGAGGACTGCAGCTTAAATCCATCCCTCAAAGAATTCTTCCAGGTAGCAATTCAATAAAAATAAGTGTGAAAAAGAGACCATGAGTGAGAATCAGCAAGTCACAACAAACAGCAAAATCAGCATTGCAAAAAACATCATATATTGGAATTATCGGAAAAACAATAGAAAATAAGCTTAATGTGAATAGAGAAATAAAAGTAAGGCTTTAAAATATCTGCATATGAGTCAAGGCTAGAAGACTATAAAAAGTATCCAATGAGATTTGAAGAAGCAAACAGAGCTTCTAGAAATGGAAAATAAACTGAATAAAATTAAAAACTCAACAAAAGAGTAAAATAGAAGATTAGAGAGAGATAATAAGACAATTGAAAACAGGAGAAAGTGAAATGGAAAATAGGAGAGAGGTTAGGAAACATGAAAGACTTGTAGCCAAGGGAGTATCAGAGTCTGAGCTTGTCTCCCTGCCATAAACTACTAGGAAACTGCATAAAATATATGAAACAAATGTTTTCAGACATTTGTAACAGGGAGGGAAGTACTGTGAACCCTGAAAGAGGGGGAAACAAACACGGAGAGTCCTGGAATCACCCCAGTTTCATCTAGGAGGCAATTTCCAGACTATGGCACATAAAGGCGGAAACCAAATAGAGTCCAGTAGATTTGCTTATTTGAGAAGACGAAGCCTAGAGTTCAGAGAAGTCAAGATGGCTAGAATCTGCAGAGCAGAGAAAGAGCTCCAGAAAATCTGTCTGTAGGTCAGATTTGAGAACACCAATCTCTACATGCATAGAGTAAAACGCATGAAGCCATGAAAAGAAGAAATTCTGACAAAAAAAACAATTACTGGGGAACTAAAGCCAAACAATTCTGAGAGATCACAAGGGGTCAGGAATCACTCAAATTACCAGTAGCCAGAATGGAGATATCTCTGACCTTACGGGTTATTTATTAGAGATTCTAGGAGTAGTGCACCTTAGTAATCCATTAGTCCTACAGGAAAAGCTACTCTGGTTCTGCCCCAAAAAAGCTTGAAAGCAAGTTTTTTATAAGGAGTAAACCAACCCATGAGGAACTTAATTAACTGCCAGAACAATGTCAAAATGCTTTAAAGAAATACAACAAAATCCAGCATTCAAGGGCCGGCCCGGTGGCGCACTGCTACAGTGCACCGCTTGGGAAGCACGGCGGCGCTCCCGCCAAGGGTTTGGATCCCACATACAGACCGGCCGCTCACTGGCTGAGCGAGGAGCGGGGGCAACACCGGGGGTTGCGATCCCGTTGCCGGTCCCAGTCCGGTACGGGCGCGACACTGAGGGTTGCGATCCGTTGCCGGTCACAAAAAAAGACAAAAAAAAAAAAAAAAATCCAGCATTCAAAATGTAAAATACGTAATGTCTAGCATCCAATAAAAAAATTACTGGTATATGAAGAAATAGGAAAATGTGACCAATATAACCAGGGAAAAATCAGTCAATAGAAACAGATCTAAGAATTACAGAGATGATTAAAATTAGTAGATACCATTAAAATGAAAATTTTCAAGATGCCCAAGGATTATTTTAAAACAAATATACTAAGAGTAAAAAGAGAAATAGAAAATATAAAAGAAGAACATATAAAACTTGTAAAAATAAATGTTACATTACTGGATATAAAAATTCACTCCAAAGGATTAACAGCAGTNGGTTGCGATCCCGTTGCCGGTCCCAGTCCGGTACGGGCGCGACACTGAGGGTTGCGATCCGTTGCCGGTCACAAAAAAAGACAAAAAAAAAAAAAAAAATCCAGCATTCAAAATGTAAAATACATAATGTCTAGCATCCAATAAAAAAATTACTGGTATATGAAGAAATAGGAAAATGTGACCAATATAACCAGGGAAAAATCAGTCAATAGAAACAGATCTAAGAATTACAGAGATGATTAAAATTAGTAGATACCATTAAAATGAAAATTTTCAAGATGCCCAAGGATTATTTTAAAACAAATATACTAAGAGTAAAAAGAGAAATAGAAAATATAAAAGAAGAACATATAAAACTTGTAAAAATAAATGTTACATTACTGGATATAAAAATTCACTCCAAAGGATTAACAGCAGTTTAGACAGTGATGAAAAGATAAATGAACTTGAAGACATAGCAACAGAAACTATCCAAAATAAAGCATGGAAAGAAAAAGGAAAAAAGAATTAACAGGACCTCAGTAACCTTTAGGAAAATATCAAGTGGCCTAACATACAGGTAGCTAATTGTGGCTCCAAAAGGAGACAAAAGAAAACAGGAAAAGGAAAAGGAAAAGAAAAAGGAAAAAAAAATAATAATAATGGCCAAATTTTTCTAAATTTGATGAAAACCATAAACAAACAAATATAAGACACTCAACAAATCCCAAGCAAGATAATCATTCACACAGAAAAAACACACATCAAAACACATGGTAATCCAATTGCTGAAACCAGCACTAAAGAGAAAAATCTTAAAAGCAGCCAGACAAAAAAGACAATTTGGTATGGAGAAACAAAGACTAAAAAGTTATCTTGGATTTCTTATCTGAAGTGATGTAAGTCAGAAGACAACAGGCAACCTCTTTAATGTTTTAATGTGCCAAGGGGGGAAAAGTCAACAAAGACTTGTAAACTTAAAAAGATCTCTTCTGAGGGCTAGCTGGTTAGCTCAGCTGATTAGAGTGCCACTTTGTAACACCAAGGTCATGGGTTTGGATCCCTGTACCTGTCAGCTGCCAAAAAAAGGATATCTTTTGAAAATTGAGTCAAAACAAAGCCTTTTTTCAAGCAGACAAAATGTGAGAAACTTCATCAGCAAACCTGTACTATGAAATATGATAATGGAAGATTTTTAGGCAGAAGGAAAATGATACCAAACAGAAACTCGATTTACACATATGAGTAAGACTATCTAAATGGTAAATATGTAAATAAGATTTTTCTCATTTTAAAATTTCTTTAAAAACTAACTTTTCAAGGCAAAAGTAACAACAGTTACTATGGGGGTTACAAAATATGCAGAAATAAAATGAATGACAACAATAGCACAATAAACAGAGGGGGAGAAAGGTGTAAGGTCGCCAAGGAAGGAGACGCTAGCCAGGTAAAGGAAGAAAAGAAGGTTTTACCAGCAAGTGGCAAGCGGACCTGCCAGGCTGAGCCTAAAATGATGACAGCGCCAAGAGGCAGTTGGGTGTCTTTTACAGGGTTAAGATTGGCATCTGGCCTAGCCTAGGAAGATGGTTACAATTGTTCCATTCCGTGTACAGCTTGCTCAGGGGAACAGAGACTTAGGGAGACAGAAACCTTGGCCTCAGGGAGGGAAACAGTTACAATGTTACACTCTGGGTACAGCTAGCTCACCCTGCTCATGGGACAGAGACTTAGGAAGACAGAAACTTAGAGGAATGAAACTGAAGGGTGGGGGTGGGGGTGGGGGTTCTAAAAATCAGGCTCTCAGTTCCAGGAACCTAATAAAAGGAAAGAGCAGAATACATTCTTCCATATCCTTTCCAAGTGCACATGAAACTTCACGAAGATCACAAAATTCTGGATCACAAGGTGTCAACAATTTTTTAAAATTTAAATACTGAGTAGTTCTCTGAGAAAAACAGAATTAAATTAAAATAACACAAAGTTATCCAGAAAATCCCCCAAATATTTGGAAATTAATAATATACGTCTAAGTAAATGAAAGCACAAAGAAGAAACCACAAGTAAAATGTGAAGAACAACCTATAACACATACTTCGAAAAGTATTGGTTTACAGCAGAGGTCAGCAAATTAAAACCCTCATGGCAAATCCCACCTGTACCTGTACCCTAAAGGCTTTACTGGAATACAGCTACATCCATCCTTTCACATGTTGTCTATGACAGCTTTCACACTACAATGCAGAGATGAGTAGCTACAACAAAGACCATATGGCCCACAAAGCTTACAATATTTACTACCTTTAATTGTTATATAACAATTAGAACACAGATTCTGTACCAGAATGCCTAGGTTTGAGCACCATCTCTTACCAGCTATATGACTTTGGGCAGTCATTTAGCCTTTCTGTACCTTACTTTCCTCACCTGTTAAATGGAAATAATAAAAGTACCTCATAGGGGTAACATGAGAATTAACATACATACATATATGAGTATAAAGGAGTGAGAAGAGTGACTTGCATATGGTTAATGTTATATAAATGTTTGCTATCATCATCATCATCATTATTATTACTATTAGTTTACCAGAACCATAATTAGCTTTAAGAATCCATGCCTGCTACCTGTCCAAATGAGAAATGCCATCTAGTACCCAATTAGAAACAGTTTCTGCAAAGCTAAATTACTATTTCAGCCTCCAAATGGGTAGAATAGTTCTTTGTTGTGGCTCTCCATCAAATCAAGCTAGCAGAAAGCCCAGAGAACAAGAGGAGATAATTTGCTCCTCCTGAGTCATTAATGTTGGGGAAACAGAGGATATCAGCAAATATCTAACTGGAACAGAGATATCTACCTCTTGCTATAGTATTCTGTGTAGAAATTAAAATTTCACAAGTACAAAGAGAGATACCTAGAGGTATCTCTCTTTTCTCTAGCTCAGCTCATCATCTACACAGCAAACCACAATTGGCCAAAAGCTTTAAAATTCCATGTATCCAAATAGATCCTCAAAGCATTTAGCTCTGTACAGGCAGTAGCAAACCAGACCTGCAGCACTTCCTCTGTAGCCTTGATAAACATATCATGGCCAAAATCAACCTCCCTAAGCATAGGTTAAGCAACAACAGAAAAGAAGAGGTTGAAACAAGAAAGTAAATACTATCTCCTTTTCTAGCTTTTTATCATTTTTACTTTATCATCTTTTCTCACATTTAACCCAGCCAAAGTAGGTGAGGAAGAGGATAAAGTTTTCCAGCAAAAGTAATGCTTAACCCACATTTTGTAAGATAGAATAAGAAATGGCCAGTTAGAAAAGTAATAAAAAGTGCATTTCAGACTAAAGGACCCCAAGATTAGGAAAACCATGGTGCTTTTAAAGAAAGTGCCAGCAATTCAACATGGCTGAGGGGAGGAATGTCAACTAGGAAGCAGTAGGTGACAAAGCTGGAGAGGTAGGCCAGAAGCCAGGAAGATGAATAGGCTTTGTTTTTTGATAGAGTTAGAATAAAGGGAGAATTCAGTTTCAAATGAATAATACGGAATATCTACAGAACATTCTTAGAGAGGAGGTATTTGGAATTGAGGAGAAAAGCCAGAGCCACTGTCAACTGATATGGAAGTTAAAGTAATGAATCTAAATAATCACCCAGAGAGAATAAGTAAAACTGTGAAAAGAAAAGAAGGCTATAGACTCCTAAAGAACACTGACATTTACAAAGCAGACAGAAAGAAAGGCTCCTTTAAATTTAACTAAGAAGTAACAATCAGAGAGGGAGAAGGAAAACTAAAGAAGCCTGTATTCAGCTTCCCAAATTCCTATTCCCAAATGCAATTTTATTTGTGTCCATGAATTGAATTGGAAGTATCTATAAAAAGTCCTAGCACACCAAATGCTCAAATAAGAAAAATGTCCTAATACACACTAGAAGCATCCCATGAGTTCCTGAAATTGTGAAACATATTCAAATAAAGAACAATTAAACTTAAAAGATTCTAGCATGAATATTCCTGATATAAGAACGAATTGTTACAATGTTACAAAGCAAAATCACAAATTATACAGAAAATGCAGGGCTCAATATAAAAACTGGTCAAATCATACATAAAGCCATTAGAAGTTAGGATGTGGCAGGGCAATAGAAGAGAATAAAATTCAAGAATAATACAACAGACACTTGAGATATGTCTAGATATCAAGAGATTACTAAAATGCCATTAGAAAAACCAGTGAACAACCCCATAATATTTTTACAAACATGATCCTCTTTATAATGTGCCAAAAGTCAAAGGTAAACTGATACACTTTATTTTGTCTAGCACATAACTGACAAAATTAGATTAAAAGAAAACAGAGATATGTCTAGATATCAAGAGATTACTAAAATGCCATTAGAAAAACCAGTGAACAACCCCGTAATATTTTTACAAACATGGTCCTCTTTATAATGTGCCAAAAGTCAAAGGTAAACTGATACACTTTATTTTGTCCAGCACATAACTGACAAAATTAGATTAAAAGAAAACCTACTTTATTCTCAGTTCATTCTATAATTTAGCAGAATTACAACTATAACTTAAATTTTGTTAAACATGAGAAATATGTTTTTATAAATTACGGTTATATTTTCAAGATAAAGTACCAGTTAAATTTCCCATCCTCCTACCCCCTGTTCCATTTACTATGGAATTTTAGTCCCTGTTTGATGTGGATTTATATAAATAGACTTTTCAGGTCCTAATTATCTTCAATACGGCAGACTGCCAGCACTAGCGTGGATATTCAATTCATTTCCAAGAAAGCCTCTGGGAAAAGAACATTCAGCATTACCACCAACTGGGAAACTCATTCATTGGATAAATCTTAAAATGATACTTATAGTTTCAAATCTAGTAGAAAATGCAAAAATTATACAATATTTCCTGCTTGGTATCCATAAATAGTTCATAGATATAAGCAAATAGATATGTTCTTTTAAATATGTTTTTTAAGTTAAAGCATTTTCTCATTAACATAATTTCAGAGATACTCTTCTTAACTTAATCTTTATTTGGTAGCAGTTCCTTACATTTTAATTTACTGTACTTAAAATGGATGTATTCCTTTTGAAATATAAAAAACCACCTCCTAAGTTACATGTTTGGGAGGCAGTAGAGCACTGCTATTAAAAACATGAGCTTTGGAGTATGACTGACCTGGGTTCCCGCTCTGGCTCCATTTACTAGCTGTGTAATCTGGGGCAAGTTATTTAACCTCTCTAAGTCTCAGTTTCTTTATCTGTAAAATAGAGATAATAATAGTATCTATTTCATAGAGGAGTTGTGAGGATTAAATGAGAAAATTCAGGCTCAGCATAATGCCTGACACTTAGTATGCGCCTGGTATCTTTCAGCTTTTATGTTTTTATAAGCTTAAAATTTTAAGTAACACGTTCTCATAAAGATTTGTGATGATAAAATACATGTACCCAAGACTTTTCTTATAAATTGCTCAAAATAAGCAAAATTAGAGGCTTTCAAGTAGTAAAAAAGCAATGGGTGTGATTTCTCCTTAGATATACTCATATAATAAATTCCTCAACAATGCAATATATTACATTTAGAAAGGGCAATTTCAAAGTTAAAAAGAAAATATCTCTATTTAAAGTATACAGATACTCATAGTTAAAACATCTTGAGTCTCAAAACACCTTAAATGATAAATGATTTTAAAAAACAACTTTGTAGGTTTGTTTCATAATATTTTATGCTCTTGTGTAGTAGGTAAAGAATATTATTCTCTTTCCTTTAAAAAAGAAAATGAAATTCTGATATGAGGACATTAAGGGACTTGAAAGATAATAGCAAAAATGGGACATGAATTAAGTTTTTGTAATTGCCAATCACTGCTATACAGTGATATTAAACCTGGAAGCACATTTTTCCCCAAAGAAGAGGTTCCAGTTAAATCTTTATAGATCCCTTATCAGAAAGTCATCTCTTATCAGAAAGTCATATTAATCCATGCTACTCAAAGAAGCTATACCTCAGAGTAGTACATAAAACATCTACTGGCTATCATTTTCAAAGGAATAAAACACATTAATCTGTTTCTGTAAAATCTAGATCTACAAATAATTTTATAAATTGAGAAGCTGATAACTAAAATTTTTCTGAAAGTTAAAATGATTTTAAAGTCCAATTTTAACATAAAACTTTGAAAAGATTATAAATTAAGCAAACCTACAAAATCTTATTTCTTATTTTTAAAATATATTTTAGGTATAACAACTTCCATAAAAACAGCATGAAAAAGCTCTAGGCTTGTTTAACTTTTTAAAAATCATTGACTTGAAATAGATAATAATTTGGAAACTGATTAGTCAGTGGAGTGATAATTGTATCCTTTGTTTTGAACTTTAATTTTGTATAAAAATAACTCAGAGGAACTGTCTTATTATTTTCAATAAAAATGTAATTTTAATAGATAACTTTTAAAGTAACTGAAAATTAAAATACATACAGCTCTACTTAGAGAAACTTAATTTTCCTAAGACATCTTCCATCTGTCTTATTAAAATACCCTACCTGGAAAAGTTAGAAGTCACGCACCACATAATGACATTGCTGTCAATGACAAACTGCATATATGACGGAGGCTACACCATATAGCTTAGGTGTGTGGTAGGCTATACCATCTAGATTTGTGTAAGTTCATTCTGTGATGTGCACACAATGACAAAATTGCTTAACGATGAATTTTAGAATGTCTCCCTGTCATTAAGTGATGCATGACTATATATAATTTTCTTTAACAGCTAGGTAATATTCTTCTGAATCAGAATCTCTTTGGATTTCAAGGTAGTAATTAATTCGATTGAGAAAGTTCTTGATATGATGAAATAAAATTCCTTATTCTTATTTTTCTTATTATATATTTCTACCTACCCACCTCCACCCTTCGATAAACAAATACTTTTTTATCACTTGCTTCCCAATTTAATATTTATAGACTTATAACCACTTATAGTACAAATTTTTAAAAAATAATTTAGGAAAAAGGGAAAAAATTATCACATACCTGTCCATCTAAGTCAAATGCTAAGCAAGCTATACCATGTGTATGAACATCCTTTAAAACTGATATGGTCTGCACAGTATATGAATCCCAAACACAGATATAAGGGTCTTTCCCAACTTGTCCTGTTGCTACCAATACTCGTTCAGGATGCAATGCAAGGCTGCAAAATAAAGAAACAATTAAATAATAAGACTTAAAAATTTCTTATAGAGCTTTTAGATTATTTGGTATATATAACATTTATATACTCCAATGTGAACATTAGACCTTAATTATTTATCCATTTAAAATACTTTGAATTTAAAATAATTTTTCTAAAAATCCATGCTAAGAGTTACCACTTCAATAGTATTAAACAGTTAATGATAATTATACCTTTCATAATCCTTATAACATGATACAGTATGTGTAAACTTCTCAAAAAAAGAACTTTCACAAGGGATCAACTGAACAACAGCAACAAATTAATAGCAACACTAACACATGCCATTTTCTCACCTGGTACTCACCTGTCTTTAAGCCCTCTGTTCCATTTTACTATTCCTTTTATTAGGTAAAGTTAGACCAAACCTTAATGTCCAGAAGTAGCATTCCATAGCACTCCTACTATATAACACTGATACTTTTATTACAAATTCCACTTTAAGAAACAGAAAGATCACCCATAAACCACAGAAAGTAATCTTTGAGTCTTTAAAAACAAAACAAAGACCTAATAGTTGGTAATGGTCTATGTACATCAGCAGAAGGCAGGGAACAAATGCAGAAAGATCACCCATAAACCACAGAAAGTAATCTTTGAGTCTTTAAAAACAAAACAAAGACTTAATAGTTGGTAATGGTCTATGTACATCAGCAGAAGGCAGGGAACAAATATAAATTTCTACTTGATAAATTTTTCTATAAGTAGATTTAGACTATCAGATTTGTCTTTGACATGGGGAGAAATCACTTCTGGCATCAGGGTAAAGGTTGAAATGAAAAGGGAAAAGTTAAGAAGGTATTAAAACTGATTGTCGGGCCGGCCCCATGGCTCACTCAGAGTGCGGCGCTGGTAGCGCCCAGGCCACGGGTTCGGATCCTATATAGGGATGGCCGGTGTGCTCACTGGCTGAGAGTGGTGCAGAACACACTGTGCCAAGGGTTGTGATCCCCTTACTGGTAAACAAACAAACAAACAACAACAACAACAAAAACGATTGTAGGGGGTAAAAGAAAAGGAAGGATCTAAGAGGACTCTTGGGTTTCTGGCTTGGGCATCTGCACGGTTTGGGGTGGTATTCGTCAAGTCAGGGAATACTAAATGAGTAACCAGTTAAAGAAAAGATGAGTGGAAATGCAAAGTTGGTTTGATGTATGAAAATCAACAAATACATATAACGTTAACAGAATAAAAGACAAAAACCTCCCATGAATGTTCATCTCAGTAGACACACCTAAATCATTTGACAAAATCCATCCGCTTTCATGACAAAAATAAACAACAAACTAGGGATTGAGGGGAACTTCCTTAACCTGATAAAGGGCATCTACAAAACTCTATAGTTAACAACATATTTAATGGTGAAAGCCTGAATGCTACGCAATTACAGAAACAAGACAAGGATGTCTGTTATTGCCACTTCATTCAACATGATAGCCAGGACAGTTAAGCTAGAAAAAGGAACAATACAGAGAAGTAAAACTATCTTTATTTGCAGATGATATAATCTTATATATAGAAAATTCTAAGGAATCCACAAACAGAGAAATAAACAAACAAAAAAAAGGGGGGGGAGCTAATAAAGGAGTTCAGGAAGACTGCAGGATATAAGACCAATATAAAAAATCAGTTGCATTTCTACAAACTAGCAAAAAGAAATCCAAAAGTTAAATCAAGAAAACAATCCCACTTACACTAGTATCAGAAAGTAGTATCATAAAACACTTAGTAATAAACTTAAAGTATAAGACTTGTACACTGAAAACTACAAAACCCCATTGAAAGACATTTTAAAAGCTCTAAATAAATGGAAAGACATCTCTTATTCTAGGCTTTGAAGAATGTAGTATTGTTATAATGGCAACAATACCTCCTAAATTGATCTGAGTCAGCACAATCCCTTTCAAAATAGTAGGTTTCCTTCTTGAAGAAATTGACAAGCTGATTCTAAAATTCAGAAAGACCCAGAATAGCCAGAATAATCTTGAAAAAAGAACAAAGTTGGAAGACTCACACTTTCCAATTTCAAAACACATTAACTTACTACAAAACTACAGTAATCTAGAAAGTGTGATCCTGGCATATGGACAAACAGATCAATGAACAAAATTGAGAGTCCAGAAATAAACCCATACATTTATGATCAATTGATTTCAGCAAGGATGGTATCAAAACCAATGGGGGAATAACAGTCTTTTCAATAGATCAGACACCTGAATATCCACATGTAAAAGAATGAATTTGGACCGATATATCAAACCATGTTCAAAAGTCAACTCAAAATGGATCAAAGACCTAATGTAAGAGCTAAAATGATAAAACTGTCAGAAGAAAACACAGGCATAAATCTTACTATCTTGAGTAAAGCAATGGTTTCTCAGATGTAATATAAAAAACAGAAGTGACAAAAGAAAAAATATATAAAATGGACTTAATCAAAATTAAAAACTTTTACACTTCAAAGGACAACCATTGAGAACATGGTAAAACAAGCCCCAGAATGGGAGAAGATATTTGCAGAGCATATATCTGATAAGGAACTTGTATCCAGAACACACAAAGAATTTTTACAGATCAGCAATAAAACTGCAAATAACCCAATTTTTAAAATGAACAAATAATCTGAATTTCCCCAAGGAAGATAAAGAAAAGGCATAATTAAAGATGTTCAACATCAGTCATCAGCAGGGAAATACAAATCAAAATCACAATGATATACCACTTCTATGACAACAAAAGACAGAAAATAAAAAGTATTTAGCAAGGATGTGGAAAATTATAATTATCTCAATAGTAAAGAAAGTTCAAAAACTACTGGCATTACATTCTGTACATATTTTTGAGTAAAAGGTTTACTCAAAGAAAACAGTCTTTCAAATCAGACAGATCTAGGTTCAAAACTCTGGCTCTGCTCTTCATAGTCTTCTCAGTAAATTATTCATTTTAGTCTTGTTTTTCATCTTTAAAAAAGGCATATATTTAATATATGTAACATGAGGGAAATTTCTCCAATCTTGGAAATTGGGGAGGAAAAACACAAAGGTCCTCATACTTGAAGTGTGAGTGAGATCTACAAATGATAGATCAGAAATATTCAAAGTCACAGTAAAGAACAAGGATAAGGTTAGGTGCATGTTTAGATTTATAAGAAACTGCCAGTTTCCAAAGTAGTTGTTCCATGTTGTACTCCCATTAGCAACGTATGAAAATTTCTGTTGCTCTATGTTCTAAGTAATATTTGGTATTGTCAGTCTTTTAAATTAGACTTTTCCTGATGACTAATGATATTAAGTAACGTTCCTTATAATCTATCTGTTCAAGTCTTCTAGCAATTTTAATTGAGTTGTCTTTAAATTTTTTAGTTTTGAAAGTATTTCACATATTCTCAGTACAAATCTCTTTGTCCAATATGTGAATTGTAAATATTTTCTCCCAGACAAGAAAGTATAGCTTTTCTTTTCATTCTCTTAACAGTTTCTTTCACAGAGCAAACATTAATTTTTATGAAGTCCAGTTCAAAAATTTTTTGTTTTACGGACCATGCTTTTGCTTAACCAAAGGTAATAAAGATTTTCTCATATTTCCTTCTAAAAGTTGTATAGTTTTATGTTTTACGCTTAAATCTATGATCTATTTTAAGTTTTTTTTTTTTTTTTTTTTGTATAAGCTGTCATGTAGGTTGAGGTTCTTTTTTTTTCTTATGAATGTCCAATTGTGTCAGCACCACTTATTGAAGACTCTTTTCTCCATTGAATTGTCCATGCACCGTTGTCAAAAATCAACTGACTGTATCTGTGTTAATTTGTCACAAATTATACCCTACATTTTTACCCACTAGGCTATGCATCTGTCCTTTCACCAGTATCATACTGCCTTGATCACCATAGCTTTATAATAAGCCTTAAAATTAGGTATAATGAGTCCTCCAACTTTGTTCTTTTTCAAAATTGCTTTGGCTATTCCAATTACTTCATCTTTCCTATAAAGTTCAGAATCAGCCTGTATATCCTAAATATCCTGTTGGGATTGCATTAAAGCTATAAATGACTTTGAGGAGAATTGGCATCTTAACTATATTGAGACTTCCAATCCATGAACACATTATATCCATTCATTTTTTAGGTCTTGTTTTTTTCAGCTTCATTTTATAGTTTTTAGTATACAGACCCTGCATAGACTTTGTAAAGTTTATACAAGATATTCTTTGAGTTATTGCAAATGGTATTATTTTAAAATTTCAGCTTCCAATTGTTCACTTCTAGTATTTAGAAATACAACTAATTTATGTATGTTGACTTTGTATCTCCTATGACCTTGCTATAGATCCGCTTAGTTTTAAGACTTGTGTTTCCTCTGTGTGTGGTTTTGGGTGGCTTTTTTTTTTTTGGTAGATTATTTGGAATTTTCTATGTAGGCAACAATGTTATCTAGGAACAAACACAATTTATTTCTTCCTCTCCTCTTATGAGCCTTTTATTTCTATTTCTTGCCTTATTGCACTGGCTTGAACTTCTAGTAGGATGTTTAATTAGGAATGGTTAAGAGAGGATATCCTTGTCTTTTTCCTGATCTTACAAGGAAAACATTCAGTCTCTCACTATTAAGGATGAACTTAGCTGTAGGTTTTTAAAAGATGCTTTTATAAGTTAGGTTAAGGGAGCGGCCTTCTATTCCTAACTTGCTAAGCATTTAAAAAGCATGAATAGATGTTGAATTTTGTCAAAAGCTTTTCCTGCATCTACTGAGATGATCATATGGTTATTCTTCTGTCTATTAATATGTACATCAAATTACATTGGTTAATTTTCAAATGTTGAACAAGACTTATAATCCCAGAGTGATCCCTACTTGGTCATGATATATTATCCTATTGATGGATTTTATTTGCTTACTAGCTTATTCTGTTGAGAATTTTTACATCCATTTTTTGTTTGTTTGTTTGTTTTTCTATAAAGATG